ATCGGGCTTGCCCCCTTCCCCCCCCAGGATAACCCAACCTTGCCGGTTGTGCAGGTCCAGGGCGGGGGGTCGCAGGCACATGCAGGGCTGCCCACATGTTATCGGCCGGCCCCCTCCTCCCCCCCCCCGGATAACCCTGGTGATCGCCGATTCAAAAAAAACACGATCTCCAGGAGGCAAGGAACAGGTCCCAAGAGAGAAGACAAGAGCCACCAAACAATGCGAACGAAACGGTTGGTTCACACCCTGGGCCTCCATGTGGGTCGGCTGATCTTCGAAGAGTTTGATGAGGAGCCGATCGCATCAGCCAGCATCGCGCAGGTGCACAAGGCACGTTTGCGACCGCAGTGCGCGAAGTCTGGTCCTGGCATGGTCGTTGCGGTCAAAGTTCAAAAGCCGAATATTCCCGCTCAAAATGGTTGCGATCTTGCTATGTACAAGCTCGTTTTGAACGCAATGGAGTATGCATTCGACTTGCCCCTCGCGTGGACTTACGACTACACGCGGCGCCAGCTGGAAGCGGAGCTAGACTTCAGAATTGAAGCTCGGAATGCGGAGCGCGCCGCCAGAGAGTTCGAAGAGTGCCCGACCCTGCGGGGCAGGGTGGTCGTGCCGGTGGTGCAAGCCGTTGCATCGGGTCAGCGTGTGATGACCATGGAGTGGATCGACTCCATCGGCGCCGTCAGCAACGGGAGTGCTCTGCGGGGCGCAGGGTTGAGACCGCAGGAGGTGATGCGAGTCGCGACCGAAGTCTTCGGGCACCAGATCTTCTCGACCGGGCACGTCCACTGCGACCCACATCCGGGCAACCTCTTGGTGCGCCACGCTCCGGCCGAGTCGCCACAGAAGTGGCAGCTGGTGCTGCTGGACCACGGCTTATACTGCGAGTTGCCGCCGAAGTTGCGGCAAGAGTATGCGGACTTTTGGGTTGCCGCCGCGTTAAGCGACCGAGATACCACCGTGCGGATCTGCCGCAGCTGGGGGATCAAGGATGAGGAAGCGGCCGAGCTGTTCGCGTCATTGACACAGTTCCGGCGAGTGCGCCTGACTGGAAGTCGTGCAGGTTCTGTTGCCAGCTTGTTTGCGCAATCTCCAGGTCAGCCTTCGACACCAGCTCTGCCAAAAATGCACAAGAAGTTGTCGCCTGAAGAGGTAGCAGCTGCCCAGGCGCGGCTGAAAGCCAGGGCAAAGCAAGTTCTGGGAGACACACGTTCATTTCCGCAGGAACTGCTTTTCGTTGGCCGCAGTCTGAACATGATACGTTCAGCCAATTTCGCTTTGGGTAGCGCTGTGAATCGCGTCGCCATCTTAGCAGAATGTGCTGCAACTGGTTCTGCCATCGGCGATGGTGTCTTGGGGGCTATGGACTACCGGACAAGACGTCTTGCCTCGTTAAGGTTTCATTTCAAGGTGCAGACGTTAGTCTTGATGGATAGAGTTCTGAGGGCTGGGAGCGGTATGCGTGACTATGTCTTCAGTTGGAGGAATTACATCTTTGGAGTATGTTCTGGGATGTTGCCGCTTATTCTGTGGGCTGGCTCTCGTCATGGTCGATTCATTTCAGCTGTGGAGTGCTCGACAGCCCATGAAGTCATGTCTGATTGTGCAGGTCCCCAGGTCGGGGCGTAGTGCCGGCTTGGCACGAGTGGTCTTCAGATTCGTGACCAGTTTTCGTGAGCACATTTTCGCAGCCATCCATTGGGAGAGCGTCTGTTGCACTTTGTTGCGCGCTGCCAGTAGCTGCAATGCAGACTGCACCCGCGCGAGTTGATCATTCAATTTTCGACGAGGATGTCCGTGCAGACACCTGGAGAGGTGGTAATCCTTTACCTTCGCGTCGCGGGGCCATCCAAAGAGCATCGTTTCCGCCAGCGCTCAGCTCATCCCGAGGCCTTGTCGATTCAGCTCGGCTCCGTCAATCAGTCCTTACCCCGAGGGGGGTGGAGGAGTAGGAGGAACGAGGGAAGAGGGGGGGTCATGATACTCAGGGGAACCACATCTCAGGGTCGTGATGTCTCGGCTGCTGCTGTGCGACCCTGCGCGCACCGCTGACCAGACACAACCGCCCAAGAGACGCCAGCCTGCAGGCGTTGGCCATCTCGCACGGACCAGGCTGGGAGAGGGCGGTCTTCCTCGAGGCCATCCCTTGGTGCCAACCGTGGCTCGGGCTGCAGGCTGGGGTGAGGGCCAACGGTGCGCTTGGGGTCTGACCACTCCTTCGCCCCCCTCTTCCTCCGGAACCCGGGGTCCTCCCCCCCCCCGTCCGAAAATCCTCCCCCCCTGCTGGACCCCCCCCCCCCTCCCCTCCCCCGGCACCCCCCCCCCCTCCCCTAACTACGTCGACATGAGCCGCCGGGCAGCCTCACGAGAGTTTCCTCCCCGAGCGACACCTCCCGCGGCCGCCCCCCGCACTCGCAGCGTCGCCGCACGTCGGGGAGGAGCCCGTGCTAGCACAACACGGCTCCAGGAGGCGGCGGAGGCGGAGGAGGAGGGGGGGGAGGAGGAGGAGGAGGAGGAGGAGGAGGAGGAGGAGGAGGAGGAGGGAGGAGGGAGGAGGAGGAGGAGGAGGAGGAGGAGGAGGAGGAGGAGGAGGAGGAGAGAGGGGGGGGAGGAGGAGGAGGAGGAAGGAGGGGGAGGAGGAGGGAGGAGGAGGAGGAGGAGGAGGAGGAGGAGGAGGAGGAGGAGGAGGAGGAGGAGGGAGGAGGAGGAGGAGAGGAGGAGGAGGAGGAGGAGGAGGGGGAGGAGGGAGGAGGGGGAGGAGGAGGAGGGGAGGAGGAGGAGGAGGAGGAGGAGGAGGAGGAGGAGGGAGGAGGAGGAGGAGGAGGAGGAGGAGGGGGAGGAGGAGGGAGGAGGGAGGAGGGGAGGAGGGAGGAGGGAGGAGGGAGGAGGAGGAGGAGGAGGAGGGAGGAGGGGAGGAGGGAGGAGGGAGGAGGGAGGAGGAGGGGGAGGAGGAGAGAGGAGGAGGAGGAGGAGGAGGAGGAGGAGGAGGAGGAGGAGGAGGAGGAGGAGGAGGATGAGGATGAGGAGGAGGACGAGGAGGACGAGAAGAGTCCCGAGAGGGAGGAATGCGGAAGGGATCGATCCGCGAGCATGCCGGCGCTCTGCTTCTGAGACGGGCTGACGACCGTGCCAGTGCTTCAGCTTTCGCGGCAGCGCGGGCAGAACTGGCGGGGAGGTGCAGACACCGTGAGCTTCAGCTGACGCGCGCTCGAGCTGCGCGTCGTCCTCCGACCCAGCCTGACCTCCTCCTGGCCCTCTCGTCTCCAGCCTCCGCGTCCCCGCTCAGCTCCACGAGCAGTGCCCGGGCGAGTTCCGTTCTGATTTTGCCCGTGGAGCTTGGTCTCTGCTCGGTTCCGGAAGACGCTCAGAGGCCTCAGGTAGGGAAGCGAGTAATGACAGTAGCATGGACTCTCGGAGGTCCGCGCGGATTTCTAGGATCGGCGCGGGACCCCCCTCCCTGGCGCGCGGAGCTCGCCAGGGGCGGCGCCAGAGGTGCCGCCAGGGGGGTCCAGCGCGGACCCGAGAAATCCGCGCGGTCCTCCGAGCTTTTATGTTTATGTCATTGTACGTTCCCTTATCAAAGACGAGCACCCGTGGTGCCCCTGCTCCCATTGAAAGGGTGCCCCAAGGTGGCTCCCCCAGTCAAGCGCTCCAGTCGCTTCCCAGGCGAAGGCGAGCCCTGCGGAAGCCGCACGGTGGTCCTCCCTGGGCGGCGAGAGCGATGCCCACACACACACACCGACCCCAGCCAGGCCCATCCCGGGCCCAGGATCGGTGCACATGTTTCCCTGGCCGCGCCAGGCAGGGCTTGAACAGTGGGGGCCCATGCCAAGAAACACCCTGCTTGCCTCCAGGGTGCCCTGGATGTCTTGGGTTTCGATGGTTTTGCTATGGAAAGCGTGACGTTCCCACACCACACATCAATGGGCGTCCTGGGGTCTCAGGGTTGGAATTCTTGTGGAAGGTTTCTTGTGGACTGGCCTCCACTGTACCCCGACCCTGGGCCCGGGTTGGGCTGGGCCAGGGTTACGGTCAGGAGCTTTTGCTTGGCGTGTCGCTCTGGCGGTTTTGGCCCACCACGCTCCGGCGCGGCACACTATCCACGTCCCAATCCCCAAGCGTCAACGTCCCGAGCCTTCCCGAGCCTCCCGCCCCGTGAAACGGAGAGACACACGATCGGCTCGCAAGGCATAGCGTCTCGCTGGGGTCACCGCCGCGACACGCTAAGCAAACGTTCCTGACCGTAGTGTGCATAGCACAGCTTGCGGCCTCCGAGAGACAGTGACGTTGGGCAGCAAGCTCACCAAGGTAAAACAAAAAAAACACGCACGCACACGCGCGCACACAAAACATAATGAGGTTCGAGGAGGTCGAAGCCGAAGATGCAGCCCAGCGCGCATAACGAAAGCGAGGTAGCAGTGCAGTTCCGGAATCAGGCATGTGCTGTTCGGAATTACGCCAAGTCGCCAGTGAGCGACTTGAAAACGCATTTTACGTTGGCATGCGCAAGCGAGGGTGGTAGGAGCGCGACGCGCGAGAGAGTTCACGGAAGCGGGTCGCCTGGGCTTCTCGCCCGCAATACGACGACGGACGACAACGAAGACGACTGCATCGACGACAGCGACGACTACGATGACGACGACGACAACGACGGCCACGACGACGACGACGGCGACGGCGGCGGCGGCGGCGATGGCGACGACAGCGGCGACGTCGACGTCGACGACGATGGACGACGACAGCGACGACGACGACGAACACGACGACGACAGACGACGGCGACGTCGACGACGACGGACGTCAGACGACCGACGACAGACGACGACGGCGGTTGACGAACGTCGACGACGACTGACGACGACGGACGACAGACGTCGACGGACGATGAACGACGACGGGTGTCGACGACGCTGGTCGACGGAAACGATTCGCCGACACGCCAGGCCTCCGGCCAGCTTCGGTGGCGAAGTTGCGGCGGAGGGGCGCCCCCGCGACGCCAGGAGTTCCAGTCCGGGCACGTGCGCCTGCGGGAGCACCTCTGCGGCCCCGCGGCGGGGGGAACGGGTTGGGGGGGCCTAAGCATGCGACGCCGTGGTGCTTTCGCAACGTTCTGCTGTTGCTTCTCGTTCTCGTCCTCCCCCTTTTCCACGATCCGTTTTCCTTGTAGATAACTCCTCCCTGTCTCGCTCCCAGACGTGTCGGTATGGCGGGCGGCGCGTTTCACGGGAGACTTCCTCACCACTTCTTTTCCTGAAGTTTGTTTTTTTCACCAGTTTCGCGGATGGATGGCGGGCCGTTTTCAAAATCGTGTTCTCGCTTCATCGCCACGCACATTCGTTTCCAAAGCTTGCAGAAGCTGCAACATGGAGGACAGTTCCTTGCCAACATGTGTCTCTCGCCTTTAGCGCCGCGCACATTCGTCTTTTAAGTTAAAAGATGTTTCAAGAATGAGCATGTCTGAGGTCCAAGGAACGGTGTTCCCGCCGCATTGCAGGATTGTCAGAACGCAGCAGTCACGTTGATTCGCTGTTGTGAAATCCCAGGAATGGTGTTCTGGCGCGGTTTAGGATTGTCAGCGCGCAGTAGTCACAGTGATTCGCGGTGATGAAGTCCCAGGGATGGCGTTCTGACGCGATAGAGGATCATCAGACTGTTGCTTTCCAATGGGGCACGTCCCTAGGCAAAACTGCATTCTTGTAGGGGTCATGGAAAGGGAGCGTTGAGAGAGCGTTTGTTACAACATTGTTGATGAGTCTTGAGTTTACGCTGGTCCTCCTCCTCCTCTTCCTCCTCCACCTCTCTCCTCCCCCTCCCCCTCTCCTCCTCCTCTCTTCTCCTCCTCTCTCCTCATCCTCCTCCGCCTCTTCCTCCCTCTCTCCTTTGTTTGTTTCTCTCTCTCTCTCTCTCTTTCTCTCTCTCTCGCTCCTGACTGTTCTCTCCCTTAGCTCCTCTCTTCTCCACTATACCTTCTGCTTCTCCTCATCCTCATCCCCCTCCTTCCTCTCTCCGCTGCTCCTGGTCCTCCCCCTTCTCCCTCATCCTCAGACAACCGACGATGCAATTTTTCGACGGGCCCTGGGCCCAGCAGAGGGTCCCCAGAGGTTCAGAACCGTCTAAAGACTCCCGTCGTTGTTTCATTCACGGCACGAGGATGTCAGGAAGAGGCGGGGTGATCAAGGCACCAGGCGGACAGAGGATGCCCTTCGGCAGTGTTTGTGGCATCATCGGCGGTACCACCTTGTGGGCCAGGAGGGCCGACGGAGATCGATCCGGAGATCGATCCGGAGGAAGAATGGAGGAGAAAGGCCGGAGATATATGCAGAAGGAGAAGTGGGAGGAGAAGTAGGAGGAGGAGGAGGAGGAGGAGGAGGAGGAGGAGGAGGAGGAGGAGGAGGAGAAGAGGGAGGAGGAGGAGGAGAAGAGGGAGGAGCACGAGGAGGAAGCGGGAGGGGGTGGGGGAGGCGAGGAAGGGAGGAGGAGGAGGGAGGAGCAGGAGACAGACGAAGTGAAAGGGAGGAGGATGGGGTTGCGGAGGTCGGCCACGCGCAGAGTGGGGTGGGGGGAGGGGGGAGGGCTTCTTAGAACCACCCCTGCTTCTTAGAAGGCGCAGGCCTTATCTATAGATGCAAGGCCAGCGCCAACAAAGAAGCCGCCTCCTTTAAGAAGCCCTCCCCACTCACCCTACCCCCGTGTGCGCGCCGCCCGCCCAGTACGAGGGTGTGGAAGGGGCCGAGTTTTGTTCGACCGCGAGCTGCACGGCCACCAGAAGTCTTTGTCCGACGCGGCGGACAGCTCTGCGCTCGACGGGCCCCTGGGAGACCCCTCCCTGGCCTTAGGTCGAACATATCCCCCTACAGGCGGATCTTGGACGAGAAATTAAACATAGTCAAAACATTCCCCCAAATGATCAAAAATCATAGAAAATCGTCCCCCGACTATTTTTTGATTATTTTGGAGTATTCCTTCTGCAGAGGGACAGGCCCGATTTACCCCTGGCCGGAGAGGCTCACCGTTCGCTGTGGCAGTCCCCACTCGCCGCCGCGCGGCTCCTCCACGCGCCGCCCTGCGCAGCCACGCTGCGAATCGCTCTGACGTGCGCATGTTTTCAGCCATGCGCAGAAGGGGGGTAGGGGGAGGGGGGAGGACTTCTTAGAAGGCGCGGGCCTGATCTTGGGATGTAAGGCCAGCGCCTTCTAAGAAGCAGCCTCCTTCTAAGAAGCCCTCCCCCCTTCCTCCACCCCCTTGTGCGCGCCGCCAGTTTTTTCTCGGCGAGTACCCTCGGAGAGCATCTTGGACCATCGCGCGAAGAAAGAGACGCGCGAGACCGACCAGCGCACGGACGTCTGAGCGATGGCGAGCAGTGGCGAGCAGTCCGCGGCCTCGTGCAGGTTGCCATGCCGATGCTGCTGCGAGAGCAGCTTCTGGATGAGAAGTGATCTTGCCCAGCTTGTGACGAGGTCATGGACGTCTTCTGCGACCACGCCCTGGTCTGCGTCTGCCGCGGCGACTGGACCAAGCGCCACAGTGTCCTGCGGAACCAGTGTCTCTTTGACGCTACGACCTCTGAACACGTCGGGGCAGAGTTGGAGCGCCCAGGGTTGCCATTCCCGCGCCCCGACGGGGAGGCCCCCCCAGGGGCGAGCAGGGCGAGCCCCAGGTGGACGACAACGAGCCGCCCCGCGACGCTTACTTTTCCCAGCGGCGTGATGGCACGGCGGCTGCCCGAGACTTTGCCGCTGCGTCCGGGATGCGCGCCGACGTTCTGGCCGCGCCAGCCGCTTCGTCAAGCGCGCCGACGGAGCGGTACGATAAATCCAAAAGGCAGCGCCAGGACAGCGCGAGGCGATGTTCGGAGCGAGCTTCACCTTCCTCCCCATGGCGGTGGAAACCCATGACGGCGGGTGGGGCCGCGAGGCAAGCAGGAACCCCGGCGTCTTGGCCACGCGAGTGGCCGACGCCACGGGGGAAGACGCCGCTCCGATGCGGACCGCCACGCCCTCTGGCTTTCCGTCTCCTTGCATTAGGAGAGCGCGCAGGCGGCGTTGCGGCGCCCGCAAACGCAGTTTGGGGGGCGGAGGTTGCCGCGGCCCGCTGTGCCGCGGCCGCAGCGGCCTCCGCGGCGGACGCTGTGCAAGGTACCGCAGCGCTGCCGGGCGCCCCCCGCCCGCTCTCTCATCCCTGCTGGGCATCATGGGTGTCCCTCTCACCTGGGCGGCATTGCCCGAAAGGGCCCCTGTCGACCAAACCACAACGCGGCAGGTCCCTCTCCCGCGGGCTGGCGGGGGGCGGGTCCCGGCGTGGCGGGAGGCGTTGCCTGGAAGGGTCCTTGCCAACCATACCACAATGCGGCAGCTCGCCTTGGGTCCACCACCCTGAACGACCACCGCTCCCCCGCGACCCAGGCAACCCCGACGACCCTTGCCGCCGCGACGATCACCAGGCGACGACCCCCCCCTCGACGAACCCCCCCCGCCGAACCCTACCACCGCCACCCATTCCATCACTCCTTCCGCCTGCGCCGCCTGGTCGGCGTCGCCAGCGCAGTGTCCGTAGCCTTGTCGCGGGTGGCCTTTCTCTCGTGGCCCCTGTTCCGGCCCGTCCGAAAGCGTTTGCCCCCTTTCCCCCCGTCCTCGTCTCCCGTCCTTCGCCTTCTCCTCCCCTGCTCCCCGCTCGTTGTCTCCCCTATGTCCCGTCACGCCTGCCCACCCGCTTGCCTTGTCCTGCTGTCCCTGGCCGCCCGTCTGCGCGTTCGCCGCCGTGTGTTTTTTCGCCAGCGCTGCTTCTTCGCCGTGCCGCCTGCCAAGCAACACGAGGGAGGGGGAGGAGGAGGAGGAGGAGGAGGAGGAAAGATGAGGAATGAGGAGGGGAAGGATGATGATGATGATGATGATGATGATGATGATGATGATGATGATGATGATGATGATGATGATGATGATGATGATGATGAGATGATGATGATGATGATGATGATGATGATGATGATGATGATGATGATGCTGATGATGATGCTGATGCTGATGCTGATGCTGATGCTGATGATGATGCTGATGCTGATGCTGATGCTGATGATGCTGATGCTGATGCTGCTGATGATGATGATGACGATGACGATGACGATGATGCTGATGCTGATGATGATGCTGCTGATGCTGCTGCTGCTGATGATGATGATGATGATGATGATGATGATGATGATGATGATGATGATGATGATGATGATGATGATGATGATGATGATGATGATGATGATGATGATGATGTGGAGGAGGATGAGGAGGAGGAAGAGGAGGAGGACGAGGAGGAGGAGGAGGATGAGGAGGAGGGATGCGGAGGAAGGAGGAGAAGGGAGGAGGAGGAGGAGGAGGCAGGAGTTGGAGGGAGGAGGAGGAGGAGGAGGACTTGGAGGGAGGAGGAGGAGGAGGAGGAGGAGGAGGAGGAGGAGGAGGAGGAGGAGGAGGAGGAGGAGGAGGAGGAGGAGGAAGAGGGTCATGGAGGACTTGGAGGCGCGCAGATCAAAAGTTGAGTGTCGGGGAAAAGCGCCTCGTGGGCCTTCCGCGGGAGCCCCTCGCGGTGACGGCCCCAGCGCGGCTCGGGGGAACTGGCCTTGGCGGGCCTCGCAGCGCGGGTCTGGGGACCCGCTCCAGACGGGCCACAGCCGGGGGAGATGTGGTCCGCACGCCGTACGCATCGGTCGTTCCAGAGAACAGCAGTGCATTAGAGGGAGGTCGAGGAAGGAGGCGCAAGCGAGGGCCGCCAAGACACCTCGGAAGGCCGCCCTGGGGAAACCCCTATGAAATGGCACGCTCCTGCGAGCCTCGGTGCACATCTCCCAGAGGAGCTCCGAAGCGCGCTGCACGACGCCGCCGGCTCCCCACGCCCACAGTGCGGTTTAGCCTGTGATGAAAAACAGGGGGTTGCCTATCTTCCAAACTCCTAAAAAGGACAAGCCTCTCCTCAGGATGTACTTGAAATGCACAGGTGCATCATACTTGTTCGCAAAGCACGGCCCATTGTTTCAGCCATATTGGATAGCGTAACATTGGTCAACCAGTTGTGCTGTTGCCCCCTGTTGGTCATCCCCCCTTCCCTTGTGTGCCAGAAGCAGGCGATGGGTTATGAGGTTTTGTTATTGTCTCCAAGCGCGCCACATGCACTGCAGCACGTGTGCCATCATGGCACGGCTTGTTTGATCCTTCGCCGCCTCCCACGCCCACATGGACGCCGCCGACACCGACGACGCCTGCGGCGGCAGCGGTGGTGGCGACGGCGACGAGCGACGAGCGACGACGCTGACCCCAGCGTCGCCGGCGACAGGCGACGGCGAGGAGTGACGAACGGCGAGGCGCGACGCCGAAAACACTCTGGCGGCGACAGTGGTGGCGGCGGCGACGAGCGACGAGCGGCGACGACGACGCCGACGACGCCGGCGGCGCGACGAGCGACGAGCGACCTTTCCAGCTCCAGCGGGCGGGGGTGAGGCGGCCTGTGCGCTCGTGCGGTGCGTCAGCGCGGACCCGCCCGAGGACGGGTCGCGGGCCCGCCTCGGCTGCGGCGGCGGCGGCATAATAATAATAATAATAATAGGAAGAAGAAGAATAATACTAAGATGTATAACAATAGAAGAAGACGAATAACACTAATAATACTAATAATAGTAAATAATGATGATAACAATATTAAGAACAATAAGACTACTACTAATAATAACAGTACTACTACGAATACTACTACTACTCCTACTCCTCCTACTCCTACTCCTACTACTACTACTACTACTACTACTACTCCTGCTACTACTACTACTACTACTACTACTACTACTACTACTACTACTACTACTACTACTACTACGACTACGACTACGACTACTACTACTACTACTACTACTACTACTACTACTACTACTGCTGCTGCTGCTGCTACTACTACTACTACTACTAATACGAGTCATAATGATAATAATGATCATAGTAATAATAATGACAATGATACTACTACTACTACTACTAATAATAATACTAGTAGTAATAATAGTAATAATAATAATACTAATAATAATAATAATGATAATAATACGAATAATAATATGAATCATCATCATCATCATCATCACCATCATCATCATCATCATCATCATCATCATCATCATCACCATTTTACGAAGAAGAATAGTAAGAAGAAGGGAAGGAGGATGCGGAGAAGGAGGAGGAGGAGGGAGGAGGAAGGAGGAGGAGGGAGGAGGAGGGAGGAGGGAGGAGGAGGAGGGAGGAGGGAGGAGGGAGGGAGGAGGAGGAGGGAGGAGGAGGAGGAGGAGGAGGAGGAGAGGAGGAGGAGGAGGAGGAGGAGGAGGGTGGAGGAGGGAGGAGGAGGAGCGGGGCGGGGCCGCCTCGGAGGACTGGCCCGCCGAGGCGCGGCTGCGGCGGCCGTACGTGGCCGGGGAGGCGCTGGCCCTGGGCTGCGAGCAGCTGTGCGACGTGCCCGCCTCGCCTCCCCGGCCGCCGTCATCGTCGCAACCGCCGCCAACGCCGCCGTCATCGTCGCAGCCGCCGTCGCCGTCGTCGTCGTCGTCGTTGTCGCAACCGCCGTCGCCGTCGCCGACGTCGTCGTCGTCGTCGTCGTCGTCGTCGTCGTCGTCGTCGTCGTCACCGCAGTCGTCGTCGTCGTCGGCATCGTCGCTGCCGCCGCCAACGCCGCCGCCGCCAACGCCGCCGTCGTCGTCGTCGTCGTCGCCATCGTCGTCGTCGTCGTCGTCGTCGTCGTCGTCGTCGCCATCGTCGTCGTCGTCGTCGTCGTCGTCGTCGTCGTCGTCGCCAGCCTCGCCGTCGTCGTGGTCGCCGTCGTCGTCGTCGTCGTCGTCGTCGTCGTCGTCGTCGGCGGCGGCGGCGGCGGCGGCGGCGGCGGCGGCGGCGGCGAGGCCCTCAGGTCTGGGCGACGCAAAAAACAAGAAGCGCGACCCCTGGTCGTTATCGGCCGCTGGAGGATGTCTCCTGGCCGTGCGAGCGGGGAAGTGGTCGAAGCCCTGGGGGCCAGCGTCGCGGACCAGCTGCAGCATAGCGGAGGAGGGGGCGTTCTCGTCGCCATTGCTGGATGCGCCCCGGAGCGCGCCCCAGAAGCTGGGTCCACCCTGGCATCCTCGCGTCGTGGAACAAGCATGGTGGAGGTGTTTTGCCAGGAGGGAAAGTCTGCACGAACACAAGTAAATATGGGCTCCGAAAACATATTGGGAGATATCGGAGATCGAGGGGAAGAGGAACATCCATGAAGCATAGAAAATATCAGAGAACCTGGATGTGCATAGATTTACGCGTGCCCCCTGGGCTCCTTTCCTTTGGCAGTTTTCAGCCTCTGCCGGGGGGCCGTCAGAAAGCGGCTCGGGATGAAGGGGCGGTCCCCAGGGCAGATGCTCTAACTTGTGGGGAGCTGCGTCGGCACACAGATGACGACGTCGGATGTCTTGGGAGGAGGAGTGGGAGGAGTGAGGAGGAGTGGGAGGAGGGAGGAGGCGTGGGGGGAGGGAGGAGGAGGAGGAGGAGGAGGAGGAGGAGGAGGAGGAGGAGGAGGAGGAGGAGGCGGAGGAGGCGGAGGAGGCGGAGGAGGAGGAGGGGGAGGAGGAGGAGGAGGAGGAGTTTTTTTTGCTCGAAGGCAGAAGCGATAGCCTTCTGACGTGGCTAGCGCCGATGACCCCAGCCTATGTATCTGGGGCCTTCCTGGGCTGCTGACTTCCCTGTAGTGCCTTGAAACACTCCATCTTATTCAAAGGCCTGCCATCCTCTGTATGGAGGCCAGAACAAAGTCGCTTGCGATATGTGAGTCTCTTGCCACTCTTCGGTGGACCAAGGCACTGTGCCAGCATGCCCTTGAAAACAAAAGTCGTGTGCATCCCACTTACGACACAAACTACAGTGAGGCCGTCTAGGCATGTCTTTGCCAAGAGGGCACTGAAGGGGTGCACCAGCTGTAAGTGTGACCTGAACTCTACTGAGAAAGGTGTGCTCAGCTCGGTTCGACACCTGGAAACAACTTCATCCAAGTGCGAGAACGTAGAACTTACTGCACTGCGCCAAAGAAAATGCTGGGCTCGTTGCCAGTCATGCGCGAGCAAGTGCTGAATTCGACGATCCTGCTTGCCTGGGGTTCGCTCTCCTCTCAAGAGCTTCGGCCAAGCCTGCAACCTGCGCGGGATGAAAAGAAGAACATTGGCGGCATCCTCTTTTATGACTTGCAACGACGACTCGAACGACAGGTCAGACGACTGAAGTAAATGGAGGGCTGCCTTCGCTGACAAATCGCACTGCTTGTTGATGCGAAAAGGCAAAAGGTCCTCTGAGGCCACCGAGTCTTCGCTCTTGTGTGCCTTGACCTTCACCGCGGAAGAAAAGTGCTTGCTACTGGAACTTGCGATAGCAGTGCGAAAAAGGGTGCCAAACTGAAAAATTAAATCCAAAAGCCTGTCAGCTGATACTACACACTTAGCTAGCAGGTCGGATTGACTCAACTTCTTTCTCCGTTCGACAGCCTCCTCAGCCTGGCAGAAGTACAGGCGGTGAGCGAGAGGGTCACCTGAATCTCCACAGTGTGCACCCTGGTCCTCCGTGGAGTATCCAGCAGCAGCTGCCCTACTGGTTGTCCAATTACCTTGACAAAAGACGGCCCTAAGTAGGGCTTTCTGCCCCGAGGATATTATGATTTGAGAAACTTTGTCTTCATTCGGATCCCTGGCTGGTTTTCTGCAAGTTATTCCTTCTCCTACTCCGAGAAACCTCTTGACCATGCCGAACCAACCTCTGGATGTGGACTCGATTTGGCTATGACTGAGCGCTGCTTTGAATTCCCAGCTCCTGGCGCAGGCGTCCAGCAGCCAGAGCTCTACCAGCTTTGGCGAGAGGTCCGCGAGCGAGTTTGCCTTGTCCTCGTGCGTGTCTGGCACGTAGGGTCCTTGAAAGTTCCAGCCGATCCTATCATGTGCATGAAATGCTGCCTTAATGGGCTCTCTAACCTGACTGTATTTGTGTCTCGACTGTGGGCCCAACTGATACCAAAAAGCTTTCAACTGCAAGGGCCCAACCGTACCCATCGGAACAGCTTTACCAGTACTGGCAACCCAAACTTTTTTAGCCCACTTGATGATGCTGAATATCCCAATAGTACTGTACCTTTTGGGGGCCTTGGGGACCAACGGAACCCATTGAAGCTGAGGTAATAATTGCCCCTAACACTCCGATAAACCCAAATGGTATACGAGAGCCAGCACTACTTCTCTGTCATACTCCAGTTCGAATGCTATATCGTTCCTATTGTCCCCAGCCAGCCCCACATTGCTATGTAGATACGCGTGTGTCTGGTTTGCCAGCCAATTGACCGCCTCTAGAGACTTGCTCGTGCCAGTGTGCGCGAGAATATGATGAGTATAACTGTCGAGGAGATTGACACACAGCATGTTGAGATCATGCAAATGCTCCGCACGAAAACACCTCGCGTGACTCCTGTCGAAACGCATACATGTAAGCTGCTGATGCCTGCGACGCATGCGCGAAACTGCACACGCTGGACCTTGTGCGACTGCTGCAAACTGCTTGCGCACTGGCGACTTCTGCACTAGTGGGATGAGGCGCGGCTTTGGCAAAAGACCTTTAACTCCAGGCTCTGTGGGATCCTTACCCATCCTGTCCGCAAGCTCCCTCTCCGACTTATCCGCCAGATAGCAATTGTAAACCCCATGCAATCTCTCCATGCCCTCTGGTTTCTCCTCCCTCGCCTGCCCATGGAGCTGGAAAAAGGGCTGCTCGCAACGCTGCAATAAATCGGTCCAGTCGACCGTGGAAATTCCGAACTCTTCGGGCGCTTCTGGCAGCTGGCAGGCAAGTGCGGGCGTGGTGTCGAGCTGCAATATGCATGCGTCCTGCATCCTGGCAGGCAGACCTATTCTGATGGGACATTCACCTCTTATGATGAGCTGCGTCTTGGATGCCTTACAGTGTGCAGCCACCCTCTCCGAAA